AAAGGGAAGGGACAGGGTTCAACTTTTGTGTGAGTTTAAGATGTGATGGACAATGAATTATATATATTTAATTCCATTGCAGTATAACACCAGTCATTTTACAATATAGATCTATTTGTTATAAAAGCATGTATGTAACTAGAGTGATTGATACAGAGTTTTAAAAACAGACATACATTGTTCAGTTGTAAAGTGCAGCATTGGCGCTCATATGACCTTATGCAGTAGCGAGCACCGTAAAACCTCTGCTAAAAGAAAGAAAAAAAAAGAAAGTGTAGCAGCATGGCAGTAATAAATCTACATCTTATTAAATATTCGTGTCGTGACGTCGTGGAATTAGGCATGCGTCAATGTTTGGGCATGTGGAGTTTCTGGTATCGTCTTAAAGTCTGTTCATTTGCCCTGCTTTCAATGAAAAAAAAAACCCCAACAACAAATACCCTTCTTGAATAGAAATCGTGATACTTGCTATTGAAGGTGGGGGTCACCCGGTTCCGGAGGTCAAATTAGCGAGAAAATAGCTGCCAAAGTCTGGTAGCTTCAATAGTTTGAGAGTCCTTGAAAACTGAAGACTTACATATTTTGTGACTTTAATCAATGTTTTTCAGTACAAATTCACACGGACATGTGTTGTTATACGGACATGTGTTGTTATACGGACATGTGTTGTTATACGGACATGTGTTGTTATACGGACATGTGTTGTTATACGGACATGAAAGATGTTTAACCAAAAGGCAAAAGTTCCATAAAAATTGCTAACGGAAAAGTGCCTATAGATTTCTTCGATTTCGTTACGAGCGCTTGACTTCACCCGCGATCGCTTGTAGAACTCCAAATCTTTGTTTTAGTAAGAGTTTTACGGCGCTCGCAACTGCACAAGGAACTCCCAAGTCTACACAAACATAGATGTATTCATTTAAGAACAAAGTCATCTCAAGAAACACCAACCAACAACAATTATAACAGCAAAAAAGCTAGAGAACAAACAGAACAACAAACAGAAAAAACAACAACCTTAGAACAACCAAAAGTTGTTTTTTTAAATCGAACAACAACAACAACAACAACAACAACAACAACAACAACAACAACAACAACAACAACAACAACAAAAACCCAGTCAAAGTACCAAAAATGTAACAAACAGTAACAGAATCAAAACAGCCAATGTAAAAAAACAACAACAGCCAAACAGTATTTTGTACTAGCCGCCATCGTCACATTCACACATCCTCGTCATCCAGCTGCATGGAGGCACTGATGACGTCATGGTCGTTGACCCCGTTGCTTTTCTGCGGTCGCTTGTAAAACTCCAAGGCTAGCTCGGAGGCCGGGGTCTGCCCACTTGTGATGGACGGGGGTGGTGGCATGTAGAACGGCACGGCGTAGCCCAAGTACGGCCGAGGGGGTTTCAGGGTGCTGGTGGTGCTGGCAGAGTCCGATATGGTGCTCATTGTGTCGTCCAGATTTTTTCGTCTGTGAAAAAGAAAAACAAAAAACGATTTAAAAAAAAAAAGGCGGTCAAAACGATTAATAATGACTGGCAGAAATAGTGACGCTATAAATAAAGTGAATCGAAAAGATTAAAATATAATAAATTAGGCTTTAAATAACATTCATTCATTCATTCATTCATTCATGCATTCGTCCATTTATCTATTTATTCATTTATTTTTTCATCTATCCACCCATCCACCCACCCACCTACACATTCATTCATTCATTCATTCATTCATTCATTCATTCATTCATTCATTCATTCATTCATTCACTACTCACTTGCTATTTATTTACCATAAATTTATAAATAATATGTACCAAGTATTAGTTAATCAAATAATTCAGTTCAGTTAACTAATAACACAAAAAGCTACATTGATAAATAATAATTGATTCGTTTGTTCATCCAACTACAAATCCCCTTCCACACAAACTTACTGCTTTTTGCGTCGGAAAAGGATCAAGCACAATGCGCACAAGAGGAACAAGAAGAAGAGGGAGGCCACAATGGCTGATGCTATGACGATGACAGGTAATTCAGCCGCCGTGACACCTTTGCCGGTCTCTGGGATCACTGGAATAGATTGG